GGAAGACAGAGATGAGACACACATAGAAGGTTCCAGATGGGAGGTTGAAATTTGAAGTTTAGAACATGTTTAAAAGCTTGAGCTCTTCCAAAATGCAATGTATTCAGACCATCATAATTAATTGTGAAATACTGGGTGCATTCCAAAGAATAGTTGGAAATAATTTGGAAGGTGTAATCATTTGCACTAAGACAGGAAAAAATGAAAAAATTATATCATTTGGTAGGAGGGTATCAAATCGTCATTATTTGCAAAAGAACCAACTGACAAACTACTCAAATAAGAAGCCAGTAAAGTAGAAAATACATAAGTGAATAGCTTTCCTGAGCAACCAGCTATAAAGTTTACTGGAGAAGCTGAATTCAAAGGACAATAAATAAATTTGAGACTATAACAAGAAACTATTGGAAAAAATATACAACCTGATAAAAGTTCATATGAAAAGATAAATGAGAAGACACACTATGTTTCTACATGAAAAGACCTCAAATGCCCACCTACTAATATATAAACTGTATTCTCCTACATTTTGAAATTGATGATTTTTTATTAATACCACATACCTTTACCCAGAAACTAATAACACATGACCTCCACCCAGAAAACCAATTGTAATGGGAAGAATTTGCATTAATCTCCATGAGAGCATATTCTCAGATTATAACAATGAAAAGGGAGGGTTTTGACCAAAGATATGGTGAAGAAAAGAATGTAATATAATAGGCTCCATAACATATAATGTGTAAGATCACTAAGGAAAAGAGGTTGTACTAAGTAGAATCTTAGCACCCAGATCAAAATTAATTCCAGGTTATTGAGATTTAAATTTTGTAAATAAAAATAAACCAGAAAAACACGCATAAAACATGTAGGTTAATCTTGATCTGACCCTGAAATGCCAAGGCTTTCCTAAACTTAAAAGCAGAGAAAGAAAGAATAAAAATACATATGTATTTAAATTCACAGATCCATTAAACACCAGTTAACAATGAAAAACCAAGTGAGAAAAAAAGTGTTTGCAGTTTTTTACATGATAGTACAAAAATTAATGAATTTAATATGTAGATAACTTTGGAGATTTAGTACAAAATCAATAGACACTTCCATGGAACCACACAGGAAGAGTTAAAGGCAAAAAAATAAGCAAGCAACTTACGTGCATGGAAAACAAGAAAAAATTAAAAAAAAAAAAAGGAAAGAAATACAAACCAAACTAAGGTGTCTGTTTCCTATCTTAGTTTGGGCAGGATGAATGAAGGCTGTGAATTCTGAATTCTCATTTACATCAGGTGGGAAAGTAAATTAGCATAGATACTTTGGAAGGTAAGTCTGCAAATCAAGCCAAAAAAAAAAATCTTTGACCCAAGAATCTTGCGTAAAGTAATTGCCAGAGGAAATGGAGATACACACTAAGAATCACAGAGGCCAAAAGTTGCCAACGATGTAAATATCGAACCAGCGGTCAAGAGAATGACGATGCCCACAAATCAGGAAATATGATACCCACATAAAAATCATGTTTTACAACATTTTAACAACAGGAGAAAATATTTCTTATGACTTGTCAGATGGAAAGCCCTGATTACAGCAGGGTCTCATCTCCCTTTTCAAACACACATGTAGGCTAGAAAAAGGGAGAAGAAAGGAGAGAAAACTTCTGACCCTGGTTCTCCCAGGCCAGAGGATACGCGGCTGTTCTTCACTTCCGCCTGCTCTCCCATAACTCTCAAATGCTGTGGGACGGGCATGCATTATGTGTTGCCACCAAGAAATGTAACATATCTTGTGTGTTTACATCTTAGGGCTCCAGGGAATCCTGGAAGAGGCTGCTGGACGAGACCGGGCCGGGCTGGGCCGGGCTGGGCCGGGCCGGCCGGGCCCACACCCGCCGGCCTGTGAGTTCCTGCCTTTACCTCTCTTTTCCCTGTGTTCTCAAGAAAGCGAGCTGTTCCCAACACCATTTTATCAGCGGCTCCTGTGAGTGACCGAGCAACGTCCTAACAATACTTAATGTATTTTGTGTCAGGGGCCCGTGGGTCAGCAAGGTTATTAATAAACAGGGCCTCTTGTTCTAATTTAGGTCCCTCTCCTTCGGGCCTCTCCTCCTGTCCTGCTTTTCCTTTCTCTTCTCTTTCTGTCTGACCCTTTTCCCCTTCTCCCTGATATGAAGGATTCTGCCTTCGTTTCAGCTCCACTTCTGGCACTTTTCCCATAACGATTTTCTGATGTTGTTGTTGGGTCTGCTAAGTTTTCATGGGGACTTTAATTTTTGAGGAAATGCTTGGTGTCCTAAATTGATTGGATGCAGGCTGAAGCTGCAGGACAACCCGACAGGCGACAGGCATAGGCTTGTGGAGGGATGAGTGAAATGGAGGCAAACTGGGTGGAGGGCGAATACCTTGCTTTCTGAAAAAGAGTTTCTGTTAAGCCAGACTCGCTGACCACACAGCCAGAGCGGAGGGTCAGAGGTAGCTTTGCGTTTTCTTCTTCTATTATCTTTGAGAAGACTTGGAGTTTAAAGAATCAGTGGTGCTTATCTAGAGTGTGTATATTGATTTTATTTTCCATTTAAAGTTTGACTTACCACCTAAACTTAGGTTTAGAGTAAATCTTGTTTTTTGCTGAATTTATAGAAAAAAAAAAAGAAGAAGCAGAAGTGATAGCATTGTTACCAAATTCTAATTCTAACTTCGGCACTCCCAGAGCTCTGGAACTTTATACAAATCCTGCCTTATTTTTTTTTTTTCTTTTCACTTTCAACATTTTCTAACTGCAACTTCAGACCAGAGAAGATTACTTTGTGAACTGAAAGAAACAATTCATACACACACACACACACACACACACACACACACACACAGAGCAAGCAAATTCCCAAGTTTATTAAACCTTCAGTTGTTACTTTCTTCTAGTAAACACAATATTGCATTTTCTATCCCAGCACTCAGGGAGTTACACACACCAATGGGAATCCACTTAACAATGATAAAGCAACATGTCCATCTGGGAAAATATGTAAAAAGAAGTGCATGATTCTATGTTGAATTATTCATACTTTTCAAATTAACCTATTGCACTTTTTCCTATTCAAGAGTGCATTCCTTTTTTAACGTGACCTAGACTATCTTTTTCAGAAGGAGTGGACGTTTTTTAGAGTGATGTAATATTTTAACTCACGCTTAATTCTACTCTGAATAGGCTCCTCATACTAAAGAAGTGAAAAGGAATGACAAGGAAGCTCAATTTATTCAGGAGAAAGATAGTTTTCTATCTTTAAATTCATTATCATGAAACTTACTAGTAGTTTAGTATTAACAGAGTTACACCCGACTTCTGGGCTTTCCCAAACGAAGAAAGAAAATCTATGCGAACTTTGAATGAATTATGCATTCAGCTTCTTCAGACGGCCACCCCTAACCACTGTCCATTAACAGAGAGGCCGGGATCCTAAACTCAGCTCAGATCTCTCTGGAAGCAGCCATTAATCAGACTTGACGGCATGTCTAATTTGGGTGCTGTGCTTACTCTTTACTTTTTACTTTCCTTTGGAGTAGATCATTCTTATCTGTTTTATAAAAACAACCGAAGGATGAGTATAGCTTTAAAGGTGTTCTGTTAAATGTGTGGTGATTTGTCTTTCATAAGATAATATTTAATTAAGTTAGAGTCTTTGAAGGCAGTATTTGTCCTAATAGATATAGGTTTGCCTGCGCATGAACTTACTGGGCCAAAGCAGACAAGAAAATAGGAAGCAGAGAATGGCAGAGGAAGCTTTTATTGAGCTCCCGCTAGGTGCTATACTACGGGACACGGGCCTCGACTCGCAGTAGAGCTTCTGTGTGGTACTAAGTGGTGCTATCTGAAAGCATCACCAAGAAGAAAATCTTGTTAACCTCTACTGGCAGGTGAGGAAACTGGGGCTCAGAGACATAGGAGCAGGAGTTGGAACTTAGCTCTGCTCCCCAAATAAGAGGGCTGTCCTCAATTCTGGATGGGATCACTATGTATAGCTGCCAGGGGAGCACTCCAAGCAAGAGGATTAAGTCACTCAGTTCAGAGCTCCATGTCAGTGACACCTGGGAGTTAAAAGTTACATTTGGGTGATTGGCAGGTCACAAAGGACCTTCTCTGCCAAGGAACTGTGTTAGACAACACACCAGAAAACACCAGGAGAGGCTGAATACCTGGCGATCAAATCAGCCTGACAACCCTGGGACATGAGTGATTCCAAGCCCCAGCCAACCCTGGGACATGAGTGATTCCAACCCTGGGATATGAGTGATTCCAAGCTACAGCCAAGTGCTTTTCTCAGGTTGCACATCTTTATGTGTTGGGTTTAAATTTTAATTTAAATTTGTCATATTTAAAGAAGACCGTTGGTTCCAAGAATCTCCTTTAAAGTCTGGTAAATAAAGGTGGTGACCCTGCCCTACAGAGAACCCCCTCAAACTCCCCCCACACACACACAGACACACGTACAAAGAAAGTCTGAACGCAAAGCACACTCTGCCACCCTGCAGCAGACCATTTTCCTCCTGCCTGCTCTGCTTTTGCAGCTTCTAAGCCCCAGCCTGGTGTGGGCAGGTTTGTGTGAAGCTCAGACCACAGTTCTTAATGCTCCAGGTATAAGATTTCTTATGAAAACTGGCAGCTTTTTTGTTCTTTCTCGCTTTTTTAACACACAGCCAGGTGTCTCTGTTCAGCTGCGCCCACTGTGGTAGCGACTGTCCTGAGCTGAACTAAAGCTGCGAACCCACCATGGCAGGGTCTCCGTGGCGCGGGGCAGGGGGAGTGGCGTTTGGAGACGCGTGGACGCATCTTGGCCCGTGAGTGTAATAGCAGCTCTGCCTTGGGAGGGAGATTAGGGGTATGATCCGGGCGATGCGTAATGGATAGGGCCGTCTGTGTACAAATTTCAAATGACTTGCTACACCCCTTTAGGATGGTAGCTGTCAAAAGTATCAGCACTTTACACACACAACAACCGCAGATCATATTACCGGTGGCCTCTGCTCCCACAGTGTGGCACCTCCTTCGTCTCCCAGCAGGTAATTGCTTCAGGAGCACCTACTGAACACATACAAAGGAGAAAACACTGGTGAGTCTTATTCTTTGAGCTCACCCGCATTCACAGAGAAAGAGGAAAACACCGAACGTGCTTAAATTAGCACGGATGGAAGTTCAAAGGGAATTACAGGTATAAAATATCTCTGAAAGATTTATATTTTCAACCCGATGAGAACCTGAGCTGAAGCCAGGCCAACATTACTGGGCTTAAATCCAGACCGACCCCGAGGGGGCCCTGCCAGCCAGGTAGGGACAGGAAGAAACTTCCATGGATGCTGTGGGCACATTTCAGGTGTTTTAGACGCTTTTTGAAGTGAATCCGCCTGGGGTCTCAAAAGCTATAGAACTTTAAACTAGGAAACACTAGGATTCTTTGCTTCTGCTCCTTTTCATACTAAAACTAAGACGGTGTGCCCTTCTCAGACTGAGGGGCACAAGGGAGACAAAAATCTTCCTCTTTCTCTGAAAATGAGTGCGATTTTTCAGGTGTCCCATGCTAAAGGGAGGCATTCATGGAAAGATAGTAGCAAAATCACCACCATGAGGATGATCTGATTATGCATATACATAATTGCTTTCCACAGGCACAATCTTCTTTTCTTATAATACTGAAGATCTGTGAGCATTAGAAACCATAGCAAGGATTATTATTATCTGCTTACTATCCAGTGTCTAGAACATTAAGGAAACTCATTCATCCATCCACCCAATATATTCGCCACAAAGTCCAGGAACTGTACTAGTATCTGGAGGTACAGATATAAATGAAATGCCTTCTCACTGCTTGTTTTGACTTTTTTTCTTTGTCTAATTAATTGTATACTTGCCATGTATCTAAGTGCTTTACATATAGTATCTCAGTTAATCATCAAAACTACCATGAGTGCTACTTATTATTGCTAGCCCTACTTTACAGATGAGGAAGCTGAGGTGCAAATAAATCAACAGAACTAAGATGACACACCTGGTACCTTGGCCGACCCAAGATTTAAATACAGGCAAGCCTAACAGAGACCTATTATTTTTAACTATTTCTTATGAGCTGATTGAAAAAATAACACTTCTGTCTAGCTTCAACATGTGAAGACACTGGAAAGCCCAGGCACCCTGACTTCGGTAAATATTTTGAGCAATGATTCTGCAAAACTGCAAAAGTGCAAGCTAGTCAATTTGCAAAGGAACAAAAGATGAGAGAGACAGACTAAAAGCTACCCCAAAAGCCAAAACAAAATGCGATTTAATGGGGATAAACATGAGACGTTCTTAAAGGCATTAAATCCCCTGGACAAGCCCTTGGGGCTCAAGCTGTGCCTCCAGCATGGGGCTCCTCCCTGGCTCCAGCCAGTCACATGATGTAATGGACAGTGTTGTCTGTGCGGGTCAGATGACTCCTGAGGATTGTATATGTTTCTGGACACTTCTTCAAAGAGTTTGGCAAACCAAGGCCAACTGTGGAGAACAAAACCTCTGAGTCCTTGTCGTATGGAGAACAGGGGAATTTAGCCAACAAAACAAAAGTGGTGACTTAAGGGATCAGGAAGAATGAAAGTTACCTTCAAATATTTGAATGTCTATCCTATGAAGTTTGAGTGTATTGTTTCTGAGGACAGAACCCCTGAGGAAGGGGTGCTCAAGACTCCTCTCTTTACAACCAGAAAGGAATAGAAACTTCTCAAAACAAAGTCCCCACTAGTTACAGCCTTCAGAAGACAGAGGCTCCCGCCCCTCCCATCTCTGTAGGTGACTGACTTGGCCAAGCTGGCAGTCTTCACCTGGACCTCCACGCATTTATGTTACCTGCCTTAAATGGACCACTCCCAAAAAGGGCTGAATCCGTGTCTCCAGTCCTCTGGGGCCAGTGGGAAGTTGGACTAGTGTTCTCCAAACATCCTCCCAAGGCTTCCATGACTTCTTAATTCCACTTTGGAGCCTTGAATTTCAAAACATTGTTGTGGCCAGTGACCCCTGTTGTATAGATGAAGAATAATCAGAGCTGAGTGACCGACAAAATTAGAGGCAAATAACATCTCCCCTCACACACCTAGACGCCTGCTCACACTTGAATAGCCACTTCTGCACAACCAGCCTTAGCACTTTTACAGAGCCGCTTAGTCCTAACCTTATTCCAGAAAATTGGTCTGGTCCCCAGTGGCCCCTATGTCATTTAGCTGAAAGCTTACTATGATTTCTAAGCTAATTTGTGAGTTAATTGTAAATGTCAGGAAGCACTGACACTGCAGAAAATGGTAAATCATTGAGCTAGACCAGGGTCAGGATAATCCAAAATCTTTTTGAGCAGTTCTGATCAGAAAAATATGCTGACCTAAGAAGGGGCTTGAATGGCGTCATATTTGAGTTGCCTCCAGTCACAGCCACCCCAACCCCATCTGAAGGTGCTGGGGGCCTGGATAAAAATGATTTCCAACTCTGAGCCGCCCAGTTTAGTCCAGTTTCAATGCTGTTTTCCTCTAAGAGACTACCCAGCATACGAAACCTAAAGAAGGCCTTGGAGAGTTCCAGTTTGATATCCCAGTTGGACAGTCTCAAGTTGATGGTGTCACAGTGGTATTTTGCACATTAAATTCTGAAACTCCACACACAAGCCTGACAAGTCCAGCTCTCAGCAATGTGGGCTCTTCACATCGCTGCGTTGGGCAAGCCTGTGTTCAGAATACAGGCCTCCCCATTTCTCCTCCTTGCTGTTTGACCTCTGTGGTTCCTTCCCCCCTGGCAAGGTCAAGCCCTTAACATCAGGAGTACATTAAATGAAAGATGAATATTAAAAAAAAAAAAAAAAACAACCTTCTGGAATTATCAGGGTTACTCTGGGGGGACTAAGTACTCCTTTGTCAAGGGAAAGACAACACACATCTCAGGTGCAAATGATCCAAACCTCCATCAGCTTCTGCATTTTGGCCAAATGATGCTGTATTTTGCTTCCGGTGGCTGGCTGCGTCTGCTGTGTCTAACCACACTGCTCTTGTGGTAATAAGTTCACCATCTCCCCATTTGTGACTGATTAAACCGGTGTATTGGAAAGTGGAGTTAAATGGGAGTGCCACGGTAATTAAGCAAACGATGTCAATGATCTTGTATTTCCTAACTTCTTTCACCAAAATCACTTTTGACGAGTGGCAAACTGAAAAACCACATCCTGACACATCACACACAGTCAATTAGACTCCTCCCTGTGTGATAAAATCCACGCTTTCACTGCAGAGACCCGTGTGTTCTGTGTCCTACCTGCAAGACAGTGTTCACTTCCCCAGTTGCTGGAGTTTCAGGCTAAGTAGCAACAGGGTTTTCCTATCGGCTGCTTTCTGCACTAGACACACGGGTCAAAAGAGAAGTCAACGCTAGGCTGAAATGTCTGTAATTTACAATCTCCAGCTTGTGGGCCAGAGCCAAAAGGCTCTTGGCTACAACGTGTAAACAGAGCATTGTTGCCTCTTAATCTGGGTAATTGGTCCCAAATGCTGTTCCCACTTTTCAGATCAGATGCTTTACATACTTTTTAAAGAACCTGGAACTTTTCTCCTTTGGCAGGGAAAAGTTGGGAGTGTAACTCAGTCTTTTCATCAGCACTGAGACTCCCATAAACAGGTGATTTCATTCGGGGGGTCTGTAAACGCAGAGCTGGGACCTGCGTGGAGAGTCCCACCCCCTTTGTATATGTTCACCGCTCTATCATCTGCTCCCACATCCGAGCCCACGGTGCTGAGTTGACTTAAGAAGCACAGCTTCTGCAAGAGCTGAACAGCCAGGGCCACCCCGGGGGAATGCCAGCCAGGTCTCAGAAGCAGAGTTACGTCTCCTTCCAGCATAATGTGTTCTTATCGGTACATTCTTTAAGGGGAATGCCCTAGAGTGAATTTGGCCTAACACCAGGGGTTTTGCGACATCAGCTTTTGGACAAAGTCATAGGGATGATGTGTGAGAAAAGGCAGTCTGGGGGTACCGGGGGTCTCGGAAGGTTGTTGGCTGTGTGCTTTTGTGCAGGCAACACCACCTCACTGGGCATCATCTACACCCTGCAAAACTCATGGTGAGGATTAAATGAATAAACAAAGGCTAAGGAGACATTCCAAGTAACAGGATGAGGCAAAGCTTTTTGTATTATTATAATAATTATTATTATTATTACTATTAGCCTATCTCTCTGCTTCAACTACACAATACAGGGAACAATTGTGTGTGTGTGTGTGTGTGTGTGTGTGTTTTTCCTCGGAAAACTCTGGCTTGGGCTTCATTCTTCCAAGAAACAATTGCATTCTTGCTGGATCTTTCAGGATGCCAACACCATCTGAGCTGCCGTAGTTTGTTTCTCTCCTAGGCCTTCCTCTTTACCTCTTCCCAATCTCCTAGCAACATTTCTCAGGCCTTCATGTTTCTTGTAAATATTTCTAGAATGCTATTGAGTTCTATATTAACTATCACTCCTCCAAGTTTGACTTATTTTGTTCTTTTGACCTTTTCTCCCCAGTCAATCTCTCCCCCTGTCATTTTTATACTTTTTTTCTTTGAATTCCACTCAGTTTATCTTCTGCTCTTTGGCACAATGATATTCTACATATGTAGCATTCCAGTGGAAGATGGGCAAAGACTTATGAGAGATTTGGGAAATCCACTCCCTACTTCTGGGTTAAGTACATTCAACAAGAGTGAATGTTTTTTCATTGACGTTTCCCATTAACTTCACTACTGTTCTTAGTTGATTTTAAAAAATGGGAAAATAAGGGCCTCCCTGGTGGCACAAAAGGTTAAGTCTCAGTACTGTGAAGCTATTGGCAGCCACTTCAGCACCAGTTTGACCCCTGGCCAGGTAGCTGACCACAGGGCACAACAGACCTCTCCTGTCTCACCCGCTGCTCCCCTCAACAGCGCATTTCAGTAGATCTACCTGTTCTGCAGCCTACTCTGTTGCTGGTGAATTCCTCTCTGTTCATCACTGGTAAAAGTTTGGCAGTGTGGCATTGTGTTTGAGTACAGAGGTTCCACACCA